TAGCTGCATTACAAGCCAAACCAACAACCCTCTTTGGACGAATCTGTGATTCCTTGGAGGGGAAGGCTTCGTATGCGAACATATAATCCTGGGAAACTTACAAAGTATGGCCTACTTGTTTGTGTAGTTACTGAAATTATTTCAGGCTATATTGGAAATTTAGAAAGTTATTCTGGTGAAGGAAAGAAATTACAAGAAACTATTCTTTCCGTTTTGGAACCCTATCTTGATCAAAATTACCATGTCTATCAAGACAATTATTATAACAGTGTGGCAACTGCAGAACACCTATTTTTGAGAAAAGTACGTGTTTGTGGAACAATTAGGGTGAACAGAGGCCTTCCTCCAGATCTGAAAGAGGAATGTAAATCCCTGAAACGTGGTGAAACCACATTCAGGAGGAAGGGGGATATTCTTCTTCAGTCCTGGAGGGATACTCATGTTGTGAATATGATTTCCACAATTCACGATTCGAGCATGGTTTGATGTTCAAAAAAGACATGGACAGGTAAAGAAGCCAGTTTGTATTTCCAAGTATAATATGTTCATGAAGGGAGTTGATAGAGCCGATCAGTACTTGGCTTATTATTCTCTTCCTCGGAAAACAGTAAAGTGGACAAAGAAAGTTGCCTTGTGGCTTATAAATTGTGCCATTTTCAATCCATTTTTGGTTTTCAAAAATCTAAACTCTCACTCAAAATTGAAATAAAAGGCATTTCTGCTTAACGTGGCAAAAGCCTGGGCTACAGACCACACGGTGGCGGCAGACACAGTTTTAATAGGACCGGAGCCATATACTCCGACCCCACACAGGCCTCATTTTGACGCCCCTGGGCAACTCTCGGGTGATACGCGGAAACCTACCCTCGCGAAAATTGTGAAGAGTGAACATTTCAAGGGGAAGCAGCCTTCTAGGCAATGCCGTGTTTGCGCAATTCACAAGAAAAGGAGTAGGACTGCCTACATTTGCAAGTTTTGTGTAATGCCACTTCACAGAGGGGAATGTTTCGAGAAATATCACACACTCAAGCACTTCTAGAAGCACCGGTAAGTGTTCTCAAAAATTTTAGTTCATAAAATTAATTAGGAGATTTTATATTAATTTTTAAAGTGAACAGTGCACAACTTAGGGTAGTAGGTATAAAAAGCCGGTCCGCAGGGTGATTTAAATATTAAAATTGCCGGTCCGCAAAGTGTTAATTAACATAAAAATATCAACTTGTACATAAAGTTTGGGGCACAACAGAGAGTATGCCATGCAAGCAAACAACAAACACAGCCAACAAACAAATTAAACTTTGCAAATCACAAAACCTGACTGCCTAAGAACAGCCAACAGTCCCAAAGGCTCAGGTATTCACTCTTTGACATCTCTTAAGACTGCACACTTCTGGGACACAACTTTGTGAGTCTGGTGCCATATTACAGAAAACTGCAGTCCTAACATTCAGTGCTGCACTTTCTAATTTTGTACTGTTACATCAGGAAATGAGCATTTGCATTATGATACTGAGGCAAAGTGTAAAGTAGCACCACTGAAGGAGAACAAGGACTGCGACTGGTGAAGACAGTGACAACAGGACATGGCCACATAGGAGGGGGTGTTACAACATTTTTCTTCTTTCAAGTAGCAGAGATAAGAGATGGGAGGTGTCACTAATAAGAACTGTAATACTATTTCAAATGAGATTCTTTTCCAACAGTAGTGTTTACTGGAGAAGTGTTTTGTTTCTTTGCCAGAAGAGAATATAAAAACTTATTACAGAGAATCAAGAGCAGTTTGACAGTAAAACTGATGAAATACCAATAAGCATTCAGAAAATGTTAAACATTTATGGAAATGAAGAAATGTGCAGAGCATACAGTATGAGAACAGATAATGTGGCCAAACAGTAAATGATTCAAATGTGGAAAAGTGACTAAGATTATGAGAAATGTTTGTCCAGATGTTAAAAGAAAAACTGAATATGAAGAGAACCGTGGTAGAAATTAACAGAGCTGCATAAAACGAACATAAAATCTTTATTGCTAAGATGCTTGCCTAAAGAAGAACAAGAATGGTTACTAATACACGCTCCCAAACTTGCAACAGCAATGATAATTCCTCCTGGGGGCAAGACATGCAACAGAGGGGTCTCTGTAACATCTCTGGATACAGCATTCCCACTGCCATCATGTTCCATTACCATGATGACAATCATGTCCCCTCCTGACTCCTGTGTTGGAAGGGGGTGGGGTCATCTCCATCACTTCCTTCATTTTGGGCTGAAACTGGAACAAATCGTTGTCACCTGCTTGTGCCTGCAACATCTGAGTTGGGTTACAATACAATGATACAACTTTGTGTGGAACTGGTGCATTCAGTCCACAGCTTTGGCAGTACTTCAGCCCAATTCATGGCGTTGAAACATAACTTCTGTCTCCACTGTCCCACTTTTGGTGGTACTTAATTTAAAGCTTCTGACCTTGAAACAACACAGTGTTTCTCTCTCACACACACACCTACGCACTGTACATGTGTCTTGCTGTGCTGACAGCAAGTTAGGCACAAATATTATACTACACTTTAAAAACATGAAGGTGCTAGAAGCTTAAAACTTTGCATCCATTTCAGTAAATAATATGGTGTATAGACCTGTTGTTAGTTGGTGACCATAGAAACAGTGGTCATTGCTATGCAATGTCCGCAACAATAGAACTGGGTCATGAAACCCAGTTATCTTGAAGACAACTAGCCATACAGTGCAGTTGAGGGTTCAGTTGTGGACTGTTAATCAGCAGGCAATGGAAGCTGAAGAATCTCCATTGCTAAGATTTGTTACCAGGAAACACCTAGCAAGAACACTGCAGAGGAACAGCCACAGTGGAGAGCCGTTACCAAGGAAAGACTAGTGAAAATAGACTGAGAAGACATAGTTTGGGGTGATCTATAGTGTGGAAATCAGCAGCAGTGTTAGTTATCGTAGTTACGCCCTGCAAGTGGTCAGTAAATCTGTTCAGCAATCCAAACCCAGTCTCACAGTCACTGACAACTAACACACATGATGCTACGGTATTATCAGACAGAACTAGGAGGACATGTTCTGTGTTTTGGGGTGTAATCCTGTGTCCTCTCCATTTGCATTTGGAAAAGTGTGTGTGTGTGTTAAATTCAGATTTTTTTTATATTTTTTATATTTTATATTTTTTACCCCTCGTTGGTGTCTCCACCTTATCGTGGTGAGGGGGTTTGAGTATGCCAAGGACCCTGAGAGCTATACCAGCGGTAGCGTAGCTACTGGCAGGGCCTCCCTTGCTGGACAGGTCAAAGGGTAGGCATCAGACGAAGAGAGACACCAAAAACCAAAAACTGATGCCGGAAGCAGCGTCATCAGCAGCGACTTGAAGCACAGAGCAAATGATGCTCGAGATGGTTCAAGTTCGTATAGCAACAGGCGTGACCAGAGTGGTTTGAACGGCTGCTGTACTGCGATGTGGAAAGCAAATGGAAAAACTACCACATTATCACTTTTCCTGGATAGTCTCTTTCCAAAAACAGAAGATCGCATTAAGTGGAGGAACTGTTTTGGAAGAGACTGTGGACCTGTCGTCTGACAGATTACTGATGAATGAATGAATGAAATAAATACATTGTTTATAAATGTTCCTAAGTAGGTATATACCATTCTTGAGAAAAATAAAAATAAATAAAAGCTCATACTGTCATGACCATCTTCTCCACTCCTACTTCTAGAGCCTTTATGACTTCCAGAGCACCATCAAATGGTACAGTGCAGTGGATGTTGGGGCTTCATGAAACACAAGAATACAGTGCAGGTTCTCTTATGTGCACTATCACCCAGTATAAAGTAGCCCAGAAGATAACAGCATGCCATGACATTTGAGGCTCTCATGGCAGTGAATATCAAGGTCGCGACCTTCTGGGATGTCGCTATATTTGGGTGGAAAGGTATAAAGATTCTGGGGAACCTGCTGTCTCCATCTTCAGGGAGAATACCCAGAACATCACTCCCCATAAGACACTAATCTACATATTCAATGGATGGTTGAAAACTGGATCAGCAATTTGAAGTATGCCTTCAATGTGATGACTGTCACACTGGATATGCCTATAAGCACAGTTTAGGGCTGCTTTACATTACTTTGTGTTTCAGACTACTTTATACTGGGTCATATTGTATATACCACATATTAGAACAGCTATTATCAATCTACTGTATCTTGTACACCAATATACATTTTGTAAACATACTAGTCCCACCACAGCAAAAACGAAGCTAATTTCCAATCTACACTTTAGTATGGATACTATGAAATTACAGTTTTATTGAATGTGTAGATTATGAACTTGTAAAGTTCCGAAAAGACAGTTTGATATAACCAGCGTTATAATAATATACTGCAGGAACCACTTTTGGCAAAGCTCAATATTGCAGGGCATAGGCGCATGCAGTGTCAGCAAAATGATAAACTACTGAAATTAATAGCAGAATCCACATCTCAAGTTTACATAGAACGGTTCATGTGACATAACAGCCGTTTCGGAGTGGTAAAATAAGGCAAAATACAATGCTTAAGCCTGCATTGACAGATATTCTATGTATAACCTGCATAAATTCTGTTCAATGCAGTAAACTGAAAAAGTGCACATGGTGCCCACGAAGTACAAGTGCCCCTACCTGGACAATGGGTGAGTGAGGGTAAAACTGTGCAAAATTTCGGAGCAACAGTTGTGGCACCTACTCAGACACACTGTCACCTTCTCTCATCGAACAGAGTGTATTTCCATACTCAGACACATGGACACCTTCTCTCGTCGAACAGAGTGTATTTCCAAACACATTAATGGTCTTGGAACGAACAAAATTTTGGTTGTGTCCCAATGGCCCCCCCCCTATCCAATTGGTATCTTGGGCTTTTCCAATAGGGTAAAGGAGACCGGGGCGTGAAGCTGACCACTCATCTCCATCTAGTGCCGAAGTGAAAAAAGTGGGGTTATACATCCAATCCCCCATGTCTTCATGGCATAATGCTTGGACAACTTTACCTTTACCCTTAACTTACTTGAAGGGTGAATGCTATTTGACCCCACAGCGTTGAGGAGGCAGAACCGTGCTTCTGTGGCCTGTCTTGGCCATGTCAGCTACTAAGACTCAACGTTCAAACAGTTGAAACACCGTGACAGTGAACTGGACACAACTTGTGCAGCCTTCTGTTGCCACAGTATAATATCCGTGCCAAAAGCGTATGTGAGCTAATTTATATAAATGTGGCACCCCGGCAAGTCTGAGTGGTATATTTCAGAGCCCTCTACCGAACACACAGGCTTAGGTCTACTGTACTGTGCTGACATTATCTCTATTCCATTAAGCCCATATATTCAAAATTAGAACATACAGCATGATGACATACAGATACATAAATATACAGGATGTCCCAGGAGGAATGTGCCAGACTTCGGGAGGGTGTTCCTTATGTTAAAGTATGCCGATATAACCCAAAACACCTATGTCCAAAGTTGAACGGTTACGGAGGTAATGGCCAGAGAAGTGTGAAACTTTGACAGGTGTTACACACTTGTTGATTATCAAATACATATTAAAACTGGCAGGAATATATGGTTTCTGTAATGTTAAAAATGTACGTAACATCAAACTAACTTGTGAGTGACATGAAGCCATTGAATCGAAATACAAAAAACTCGCATGCCATGTCAAAGTTGTCATTAGGGTTCCAAGCACTATACATGACACATGAATGGCAAACACTGACATAACACTGCTGACTGCGCGTTCTGGTATGCGAATGTGTGGGGCTAACGGGAGCGGTCATCACCACACTCAAGGACAAACATCGATAAAACTAGTCAGCTGACAGGTAAAGTGCGTGGACC